CTGCCCCGGGCCAGGGCGGCGAGCGTGGGGAGGCGAGGGCAGAGGCCGGGGACTTGCCGACAGAGGAGGAGGCGCAGCGACCGAGCGTCCGGATGTGGAGGGCAGAGGGGCCGTTCGGGGTGACTTCGTATTCTCGTGTGAAATGAGCCCAACAGGAAGAGAGGCACGTTTGGAGACAAAGATAGCGAGTTCGGGGCTATAAATATTGAGTTTGGGGTGTCTGCAGGAAGAATATCCAAGTGGGCAGTTTAGAATATAATTCTGGGTAGACCCATCCAGGATGGGGGGGGAAGGGACCGCAGGCAAAAAGGGAGGGGGTGACACTTTGAAAAACAGGCCTTGCCTATCTGCACAGCCCAGCTGGTTCTACGAAACGGAGCCAGAGCTGGACGGGTCCCTCTCCAAAACCACCCTCTGCGCCGGGAAAACCGCCCCACTCGCTGCACCTTAATCCGCCCGCGTGCTTGTCTGCACCTTCCCTCCCCCCTTTCAGCACCCTGATGAGGCCTCTGTCATGTGCCAGGTGCTGTTCTAGATTTCGGTGACGCGGCGTGAAAAGGTCCAAACCCTGCCGTCAGGGAGTTTTTGTTTTGGTGCAGGACACAGTGAATAAGCAAGTCACTGAGTAATATAAAATATAATTTTAAGTAAACAACACAAGGAAAAATAAAGCAGGTAAGAGGTTAGGAAGTTGCCAAGGAGGGAGAGGGAGGAGAGCTCTCTGGAACCGGCGCTCGTGGTCAGGGGGAGCCACTTCTGATGAAGCGGCATTTCAAACGGAGGCCTAGAGTGATGGAGAAAGCGATGTGAAAATCTGGAGGAAGTGTGTTTCAGACAGAGGGAAGAGCAAGCACGGCGGCCCTGAGGTAGGAACCAGCTCAGCATGATGAAAAGAAACAGCAAAGCAGCCAGCTCAGCTATAACAGGGTATCTTGTGACATTTCTGGTACTACTATCTTGTGTTATTAACTAATTCTGTTGTGCAGATCTTCATGGATTTATATCCTATCTTCCCAATCCCATGAAAGCCTATAGAGGGCAAGGTCCATGTTGAGATTTCATACCCCCTCGGTACCTAGCACAATGCCTTGCACACAGCAGGTGTTCTTTCTCCATTCGTTTCTCTATCATTGTAATTAGTGGTGATCTCGAGGTCTTTTTGTCCCACTCTCCAACACCTCTGGGCTAATTCCAGAGGCTGTTAACCGTCTGGCAAACCCCCGGTGAGCTGCCTAGTACTGTTGTGGTAAGAAACTCAAGCTAAGTCCTGAGCAACACAGAAAGCCCACGCGCCAAGATTTACCCTTGCTTTTTGCAAACCAGATGGTTTTACTTAGGCTCTAATATTGAAGACTGAAATGTGAGGAAATTCTGCACATGCTCGAAGACACTGCCAGCATTGCCACAGTTCTATGCTTAAACATTACAATAATATTATTATTATCCCACAGGGGTGTCGTGGGGATTAATGAGACATTTTCAAATCACTTAGAGCTACTCCGTTGGGGGTACTAAATAAGTGGTATATGTTCCCCCTGAAGTGCCATTTTTGACATTGATTTGTTGTGATGGGTTCTGCTGTCCAACAGGGCTGAGATTCGTCCACCAACTCATTTTCCAGAAACAAGAGGCTAGCCGTCAGAAGGCGGCGGTTTTCAGTTAAAATAAATACGAAGCGAAGCGAACTAGTCGGCAATCAGAAGCAAAGAGGCTGCTGTTAGAAATCTAGTATTTATTAAGCACTCACGGTGATCAACACAAGAGCTTCACAGTGGGATACGGCACAGTGAACACGGGGTTTGGAAACGGTCCAAGACTCCAGGCCCAGCTCTGCCACTAACTTGCTGTGTGAGCCTGAAGAAACTGCTAAACTTCTCTGGGCCTCAAATACAAAGGAAAGGCTGTTCTGTGAAGCTCATAATGAGTCTTCTGGAGAAGGCAACTACATGAAAGGACTGGAAATAGTCCTTTCTGAAGGAGAGCTCCTTCGCAGCAGGGAGAAGCTTGTGACCATCCATCATCACAGGACCATCTCTGTTCTGGTCTTCCTTGCCGCTGATTAATATTAATTTCGATACTAATTCCTGCAAATGGAGAAATAAATCACTTTCTAAGTCAGACAGAGAAATGCATGAAACATTTGGTCTTTAAAAATAGGGTCTTTGCCTCTCCAGGAGCCATCCTTGCAGTAGGTCCTCTGTCTCATTCTTAGACTTAAATATATGAATGATTGATTATAGCGCTTACCCCATCCCCAGCTCGAAAACAGGGCTCTAGTTTAGCGAGAGAGAGTTTTACGAGGTCGTCCACTTTCACCATCTGAGGGCATGTGTCACTGCCCGCGGGCATGGCACTGGCCTGGAGGTGAAGGGAGGAAGGAACATGGGTGCTTGCTGCACCCAGAGGAGGGAGCGGTGGAAACCCTGTGGAAAAACCGGGTAAAGTGCTGTAGTGTGAACCCAAGTTCCCCTCTCTCCTCATGTCAGGAATCCCCGCGGTCCTGGGCTCAGAAAGAAGGTGTGGTCACACTCCAGAGCAGCCGGAAATGCAAAGGGTCACTTATTGAGAAATTCAATCCAACAGACATACGCTGAGTGCCTACTATGTATCGGGTAGTAAATTGGGTAGGACCAGGTCTCTGTTCCATGACCACACATCGCACTTACTCCAAGTTCCCGCCTAAGGGAGGCCGGGCCTGGGAGTTGTCCAGACAACAGATCCTCTTTTGTCAATGATTCAAGTGATACAACAGAAAACACATTTGTAAGCCTGGGGTTGACTCTAAAGTGGAGTTGCGAAAATGTCTGTAAACAGGAATTGTGTTCAAAGTGACCACATTAATTTGGAAAACTAGTTTAGGTTCAGAGGCATAAACGTGTAAGTTACTATCTCCAGGCCCAAATCAAGCAACAGAGACGCACGTTTTGGCACGAATGTTCTCCCCGTTTTTCGACTGGAGCGCGGCAACTCCCCTACCACAAGGCCAGCAGTGGAACATGAAGTAGAGGGTCCGGGGACAGGTCTCCCTCCTGTCCCTCCCACCACAGACTTAGGACCAGACGTGAATTTCCTTGGTCGCATTCCTCTTATTTTCCCACTGACAGGAAACCTCACAGCCTGTGAAGACCAGGCTGCCCTCCCCAGGCCCAACCAGACCGTGGTCCCTGCCTCTTCCCGGCGCCTGGAACCTCAGCTATGAAAGCTCCTGTGACTACTCACTGCAGAAGCCCTGGATGCCATTAGTGACCCATTTTCTTCGCACTCCGGGTGCCAGACTCACCAGCCCCGGTGACTCCCTTCAGCTTCTCCCCCAAACAGGAGCTAGGACATCTCGAGCCCTCCCTGTCGGAGGCCTTCCACCTCCTGCCGGCTCTGGATGCTGGGCGCAGACTCGCCTCTTCCCCAGGGCGCCCACCGGGCTTGCCACCCCCTCCCTGGACGTGGCCGGGATCCGGGGCACATCC